TTATTTATGCATACAACAACTGGGGTTCAGGCCAGAGGTGGGGGAGTGAGAGGATTCACCAGAGACAGAGCAGGGAACAAAACAGGCAGATTGACCAAAGGACACTGCTGAGGGGAGCAGCATACTTCTGAGGGGAGCAGCAGGCCAGACAGGAGAGGTCTGCTGCGCCATGTGGGTTAGCTCCTTGGCCAGGGATTGAACTCAGGCTGCAGTGGCTGCCCATAGCCTGATAGTGCTGACTTTAAACCTTGTGCTACGAGGGAGGCCCTCTTGCAGACTATTTCTGTGGAAGGGAGGTGTGTCTTTATTTCTATATATCATCTTTTTTTTTTTTTAAGATTTATTTATTTATACAAGCACTGGGTACAGTGAGAAGCGCGGAAGGGTGAGAGAATTCACCAGAGCCAGAGCGGGGAGCAGAGCAGGCAGAAGGACCAAAGTACACTGCTGAGGGGAGCAGCGGGCGGCAGGAGAGGTCTGCGCACCATGTGGGACCCTCCTCTGGTGGCCGGGGAGCAGCCGGGGATTGAACCGGCGCTGCAGAGGCTGCGGGCAGCTTCGCAACCCAGCGCTCAACCGCTGCGCCACCGGGGAGGCCCTGTCTTTATTTCTAAAAGAATGTGAGGCTTCAAATTTTTCTCATAAAGATACCTGTGGTGGGGGCCTCCCCGGTGGCACAGCGGTTGAGCGCTGGGCTGCAAAGCTGCCTGCAGCCTCTGCAGTGCCGGTTTGATCCCCGGCCACCGGCGAGGGTCCCACATGGCGCGCAGACCTCTCCTGCCGCCCACTGCTCCCCTCAGCAGTGTATTTCGGTCCTTCTGCCTATTCTGTTCCCATATAAATAAATAAATAAATCTTTAAAAAAAAATCTTCACTTAAAAAAAAGAAAGATACCTGTGCTGTGTGCATATCTGGTATGTAAGTCATATAGATATATTCCTAACTCTACAGCGTACCTTTATTCGAGGAATTCTGAGGATCAACTATGAGTTGATGCTATCCAGCATTACCAACAAGTCATGGTCTGTTGCTTTAACATCAAAAATCTCTATCATTTGCTCCTTTTAATTAAAAGCTTTGCTTTGTTTTACATGTGTTCTAATATTGGAACTGCTAATCTTTTTAAAAATAGTATTGTATAAGACAGTTATTTTTAAAATGATGAAAAGTTTTGCTTATCAAATTTTATAAAAATATTTCATATAGTCATAAGTTTAAAAGTTACCTCCCAAGGGCCTCCCTGGTGGCACAAGGGGTTAAGTCTCAACACTATGAAGCTATGGGAAGTCACTGCAGGACACCCACATGGTGCTGCAGACCTCTCCTTGTCTAACTTGCTGCTCTACTTATCACTGTATTTCCCTCAATCCACCTGTTCTGCTCCCCACTGTCTCTGGTGAATCCTCTCACCCCTCTGCACTTCTCGCCTATACCCCAGCTCTTGTATGTATCAATAAATAAGTTAAAAAAAAAAGTTACCCCTCCAAAATCCTAGTAAATGGATTTTCATCTGCCTTGGTGTTTATCATGTTTTAGATTCCCAAATAAGCAATAATTTTTGTCCTGTTTTGAATATTAATCTTGAGGATAGTGGAGTTTTTCTTTAAGGCATGAATGATTATCTAAAAGAATTGGCTTTGTGAATTTATATATGGGCAGAATTTTATTTGAAGATTATTGATGTATGGAATTTGGAGAATGTCCAATTGAAGGTGGTTCAAATGTGTATTGTATATGGACTTACATACAGGTTTTTAAACACTGAAAGAATATACACCAAATGTTTAGCAGCTTATATATTGTTTGATGTGGGATTTTAAGTGATTTTCCCCCTTTTGCTCTTCTGTATTCTACTTTTTTGGAGGGTGATGAGTGTGTTTTTTAGAAAGATTTATTTATTTATGCATTTAAGAACTGGGGTATAAGCCAGAGGTGCAGGGGGTAAGAGGATTCACCAGAGAAAGCGGGGAGCAGAACAGGCGGATCTACTGAAATACACTGCTGAGGAGAGCAGTGGGAGAGGCAGGAGAGGTCTGCTGCACTATGTGGGTTGCTCCTTGGCTGGCCAGGAATCGAACTCGTGCTGTAGTAGCTGGCGATAGCTTGATGGCGCTGTCTTTAACTCCTGTGCCACCAGGGAGGCCCGGGTGATGAGTGTGTTAAGAAGACAAAACCATTCTGACTTCTAAGAATTCCTAAAGGGCCATCCATTTTGGTTTACAAAGGGCCAAAGGCTATCTTTGGTATTGACCAATGATAATTGAAGAAATAATATATTCATGTAAAGTTAATCCTCAGAGTTATCCAACGCTGGGTGACATCGTTTCTTTTGATGTTAGCTAGAATATATACATTTTCTGATAATGCTGGTTAGTAATGGTGACTCCTTTCATTGGTAATTATATCTGGGCATTACAAATGTATTTATTAGTGCTTAATTTAAGAGTGATAGACTTAGCATTTCTGTTTCTTTAAAGTATACCTCTTTGGTCTATAATTTGGAAGAGAATAATTAAGTAATGCCCAGGAGCCAAAGTAGGAGCATAATTTCATTTCACAGCATAATTAATGTTAAGTGTTAATGTTGAACCTCATCTCAGGGAGTTTTAATTAGGACAGATAAAATGGGATAGGAAACCATCTTTGAGCTAGCACTTGTTAATGACACTATGCTAGGTGCTCTCCCTATACTATCTCATTTGAATTTTCAAGACTACACTATGAAATACAGGTGGGATCAGCCTTAATTTACACATAAGAAAACCAAGGCTCAGTGAGATGCGAGTAACTTATAATGGCTTTAAGCACTTGAAATAATATTTTTATTTAATTGATATGGCTACCGGGAACCATCACTGTATAAATGATTCCTTTAAGAGTATATAATTTTTAAAATTTATGTGATAGACCAGCATTTCAATCATAGAACTTACTAATAATATAACAACATTCAGAGATTATTAAAAAAAAACTATCAGGGTAAATCTTACCCCCCCCACCATAAAAATAGCTTTCTCTGGTAATTTAATACATACCATTGTAAACAATACAAATTATACATAAAAATATAAGGAATAAAATGCAAAAAAATCACCAGAATACTTTTGCATTACTTTATGCAAATTTATGTACAATTTTATACAAATAGGATTGTATTACACAGGATATATTTATTAAATAAGTTTAAGCATTCAATATGATCTTATATCTGGTGCCTAGATTGAGAATTTAAACATTTGCATATGGCAAACACAAAACCTGTCTAGTAATATTGCGGAGAAACAGGAGAGAACAAAAATCTCCAATGAAATGTCTGAACCTAAAGAGTATTTGAAAAAAAAATATGTTGCGTTAACTTTTGGTGAATAGTCACTCAAGTGTTCAGTTTGAATCTGCCTTGTACTTAGCATGGTTCTCAGTGTGGTAGGATATATAAGGAAATAAAAAATATAAAGAATATATGAAAGAAATAAAACAGGGCCAGGATCATGGTCTCCTAAAGGAAAATCATTTTATTTAACATTGAAATGAGAGGTGTAGCGAAACATGGAAGCTACATGGTTCAAGAGGGAAAACAGTAAAGGCTGTCTAAAGAAGTATTTAGTGAAAGAAGTGTAAAGTAAAAAAATGATTGTGATTTTATTTCGACTGAGAGAATCCTTAAATTATCACAGCAGGCACAGGTTCACTTTTGATGGTACCTTCAAGCAGTTTTTACATGTAATGCCATGATGACTGAAAAGGAAGACTTACTGAATCACCTACTCAGTTCCTAAACAGTTTCTGTTCCTTTTCTATATTGAAGTCTTATATTTGGCATCACTTTGGACTTACAAGAGAATATGTCTTCTCAGTGGTACTAAATGACTTTGATCATTGAAAAGTTTCCAAACTCTGAAAGAATTGATATTACCTAATATGGCTAATCTAAAACTAAAGGGATCTGAAATTGTTCCTGTCTTTACGGATAAGTATTTTATTCTTGGGCTAGTCATTCTACCTCTAAGTTAAATGATTTGGATTCCAAAGTATTAGTTTCGAAGTTGAGAATATTTGCTTTGTGTTTAACTCTAAGAAGTTCTGTTCCTGTAGAAATAGTTGCTTTATATTCCCACCAGCATTGTATCAGAGCTGCAGTCGTTCCATATTCTACCAACCTTTGGCTGGTATTGTCAGTCTTGTTAGCCATATATGAAGTGATGTTTCATTGTGGTTTTAATTGGTGCTTCTTTGGATGTTAATGATATTGAACATCTTTTCACATGCTTGTTGACTATCTTCTTTAGTGACATGATTGTTTAAATCTTTTTCTCCAATTATGTTTTTATTTATCTGTTTGTCTTTTTAAAATTGAGCTGCAAGAGCTCTTTATATATTCTGGATACAGATCTTTTCTCAGAGGGTAAGGGCAGTGCATTATTTATCTTTGTTGTACAGAGTGCCTAGCATATTGAAGATATGGAGGAACAGTTTAAAATAAAGAATGAATTAGTGGCTCAAAAGGCCTTCTAACAAGTAATGGTCTTGTTGGAAAATTTGACTTAAAATTTCTACAGGTTTCACCACACACATGGGTCTTCCATGAACTCCTGTCAACATGGACTTAAAAGTGGGCTTGCAGGATCGGCGTCAATTTGAATCCCAAATCTACCAACTTACTATCTGCTTTTTTTTTTTATTTGACCATAAAACTACCTTTAAAAAAACCATATAATTCAGTGTTTTTTTTTTTTGTAGTGTATTCACTAGGTTGTGCAACCATCACCACTGTTTAATTCCAGAACATTTTCATCACCTCAGAAAAGAAATCCCATACCCATTTGTTGTCATTTCTTAGCCCCTTGTTCCCCAGTCCTTGGCAACTAATCTACTGAAGTTAACTGTTTTTATTCAAGGAAAGAGACTAAAATAGTCTAGCTAGAGAACTGATTTCTAATAATACAATTGTTCAGAAATGTATTTTGCTAAAAGGAGGCATTAATTAATTTTTCTTCTCATAGGAAAGAAAGCCAGAAGAGTATACCATGGGGCAAACAGTGAAGGAAGGTAAGGCTTACTTGTCTGAAGATAATATTTTGTATTACTTATTTGGAATGAGTATCTCCTGGTATGCTAGAAATAAAACCATTAAACAATAGTTACAGGAGATGTTAGGTGCTTAGAATTGGAATTTCAGAACTGACTAGCCATTAAAGGTAATCTTATCTTCATTTACTAGTTTTATAAATGAGAAGACTGCTACTCAGGGAAGTTACGAGAATGGGTCATACAACAATCTGTGATAATCAAAATCCCTAATCCAAATCGTCTAACTCTAATTTCAGTGATTAGAAGATGCTTACTCCTTGCTTTCACTAGGGAGACGTCTGCTCACCTTCCCAGTGAATATGCTGCACTCATTCGCACTTTTTTTTAAAAATTTATATATTTTCATATTGATGTTCATTTTTGTACAAGTTTGATTTCTCCTCACAGGTGTAATTCCCATAAAATTACCACCACCAACACACCTGTGAACCTTCACCATAGTCTCTTGTGCTCTTCCCTCCCCTCTTTTGAGCCCTCTCTCTCCCCTCCCTTGCTGAATGTCTTAGATTTATAGTTTGCCTGCTAGTGTTCCCCCCCATCCCTTGTTTGGTTCCCCTGTATTACTGCTATAAGGGAAACCATCCAATATTTTTCTTTTTCCTGCTGACTTATTTTACTGAGCATAATCCCTTCCAGCTCCATCCATGTTGCTGCAAATGGCATGAGTTTATCTTTTTTTGATTGCTGAATAGAATTCCACATCTTCTTGATCCAGTCTTCTATTTTTGGGCATTTAGATTTTTTCCATAGCTTACCTATTGTAAATAGTGCTGCAGCAAACATAGGTGCACTCTCTGTTCTGTGTTGTATTTTCTTTCCCGTAATACATTCTTGACACCTTATGCTGTCCGACATCCTGTTGTTCCTTCAAACCCCAGTTTAAGTGCTGCCCTCTCAAGCCAAATCTGAGTCTAATTAAGCTCTTTTGGATCTAAATACCAATACCAAGTTAGAGAAAATGTAAAGAGCAGAAGAATCCACTCTACAAGGAGACAATCAGCAAAATCTATACTGCAACACTGAACTGGTATCATCAGCAAAAAAAAATTGCTAGGGAAAGGGGAAGGGGAAAAAAAAAAAGAAAAAAGGAGCGTAGAGATAAAAAGAGACTTAAGAAACATATTAACCGTTGCTGTACATGAACTTGTTTGGGTCCTGATTCAGACAGACACACTGAAAATAATTAAGACAATTGACAAAATATAAACAGTACTTATTTGACAATATTGAGGAATTATGGTTTTTCTGCCACCATAATAATAGTATTATGATTAATTTTTAAATAATGTGTCATTTTCAAAATACATACTATAATATATATGGATGAAATAATATCTTAGATTTGGTGAAATCATAAGGTCTAATACTGTTTGAGTTTCTCAACTTGACACCTAAAAGAAGGGCCTAGTTTGTCGAATTACATTGTATTCTAACTTTCCTATTAACTTTTCAACTCTTGAGGCATCCACTTTATTTCTATGGTACATTTATTTGAACAGTGTAAGGGTCAACTCAGCTGTTTTTGGTTTGTTGATTCATTCATCTAACAAATGCCTGAGGGTGTTTTGCATGCTAAGCCCTGTTCTAGGCATTGAGGGTACAACAGTGAACAAAATAGAGAAAATAAAATAAATCCCTGCTCTTTTGTAGCTTACATTTGAGTGGAGTAAGACATAATAAAAATAAGCAAATTATAAGGTACATAGTATATTGGAAAATGAAGTCCTATGCAGAGAGGATATTAATTATAAAATTAAAACTGATGCCTATAATTTCCATTTATGGCTTTTCTAAGCACTCTTTCAGACTGTTACTGTGATCTTCTATCCAATATTGCTATTTTCTCTCTCTTTTTAAGAGTCAATGGATGCCAAGAAGGAGAATCAAGAGAAAGCTCCTCAATCAAGCACATCTGTGCAAAATGGTAGGTTGTTTTTTTTTTTTTTAAAGTTTTGTTTATTTATACAAGAGCTGGGGTACAGGCCAGAGGCACGGTAGGGTGAGAGGATTCATCAGAGACAGCTGGGAGCAGAACAGGCAGACGGATGGAAGACACTGCTGAGGGGAGCAGCGGGCGAGACAGGAGAGGTCTGCCGCACCATGTGGGAATCTCCCTGGCTGGCCTGGAATTGAACCCCCGCTGCAGAGGCTGGGGACAGCTTCACAGCGCTGCGCTCAACCCGCTGCACCACCAGGGAGGCCCCAAAATGGTAGGCTTTAAAATACTTCTAGACAGCATATTTTCCTTCTTCACTCAGTGTTAAAATTGACTCTTCTTACTGCATTTGACGTAGTCTATGTAAAACTCCTATAAATATAAAATCTAAGCAGTAGGAAAGGTTACAAAATAGTAATTTAAAATTTTTACTCGGTTTAACAGAGATAAATTGGTATAAGATGAAATAAAATAATTTCATTTCAATGCTAATTTAGCCAAATTATAGGTATCTAGTTACTAATTACCATGTATTACCAACTTTAAGTAACATGATTATTCATAAAAAGCTTTCTTTCAACATTAGAGTACATGGTGTTCAAAAGACAATTTGTGGTTAATTGTTTGGGCACGGGGACCCTGACAGAGCTGTTCTAGAACCCTGGCCTCACTCCTTATTGGTCTTGTGATCTTGGGCAAATTACTTAACATTTTTATTCTCTTTTTTTCTACTTGGTGGCACAGGAATACTACTATCATGCTGGAACTATTGAAGTTAAATAAAGATAATTAGCATATAATGCCCTAGACATAGGAAAAGGTCAGTAAATGTTAACTCTGAGTTATTCGTGTTTTAAGTTCCTTATTGTGAACAGCATTTGCATGAGCAGTGAATCAGAGACTTGGGAGACAGAAACTGATCAAATCCACCTACTCTTAAGGAAAATGAGAAGAGACTTATGCATATAAAAGGCTGAATGAAAAAATATTCTAGCAAACTTATTTTGTTTGCCAGAGATTTCTATCTTCTATCAAATGTCTTGCCCCTTGTCTTTGTGTATCTGCCCTGCCAGTGTCACTCTTGGAGTAGTTCATCCATAATTCTGTGTACCTACAGGAAGATTGCCTGTAGAGATAGTCCCTGTGCAATCATTCTCCCACTCTACGTGGGTTCTCAGTGCTTCCTTAGCTCTCTTTCCCATTGACTTTATTTGTTCTTTGATTCATCTCTCTACACCCCAAACCCTCCAAGGACATGGAGGCCATTAGCGTAGAATGTTCTTCCTCAAACCTTCAAATTCCTCTCCCTCTTTTTTTTTTATATAACAGCTTTGTTAACAAATAATTCACATACCATACAATTCATGCATTTAAAGTACAGACAAGTCAGTGGTTCCTGACATGTTCATGGAGTTGTGCAACCATTACCACAATCAATTTTAGAACATTTTTATCACCCTAAAAAGAAACCCTATACCCAATTATCAGTCACTAACCATTTTCCTTCAATACTCATCTCCCCTTGCTCTGGACAACCATTTATTTTCTGTTTCTGTAGATTCACATATTCTGGAAATTTCATAAAAATAAGTTTAAAAATATATTCTTAAATGTTGAAAGTAGGAGCTTTTAAAGAACCTCAGACTTTTGATTAAAAAATGAGATTACTTAATCAAATTGATAAATACCTGCAGATATTTCTCAGGACTCCCACCTTAACATCTCGTCTTAGAAATCATTTGGAAGATAAGCTTCGAGAGAGCCAGAATTTTTGTCTATTTTATTGCTGCATTTGCAGTACCTGGGACAGAGCCTGACATAATTGGTGCTGTGGGAATCCAATAGAGAAAAAGACAAACATGATTCCTACCCTCTTGAGCTTGGGGTTAGATAGACGTTAAGTGCTCCATTATGGTTGTGATAAATGCTTTAAAGTAGTAAATGCTGATCATTAAGCTGAAAAACTTCCAGCTCTAGATACCTTGCCTGTCTTCTTTATAGAGCCTCTCAGCCCACCCTATCACTAGAGAAGACATGATTCTGATTTACTCTGAAGAAGACCAGGGGTGTTCATATAGATTATGTTCAGTTTGCCAAAGGTTTTGGGGCTAACGTATGGATAAGAATAGATGTCACATGGCAAACAGGAAGGGACTAGAGGCATGTGCAAATACCAGATCACAAGGGTATGTACATACACTTGTCTCATAAACAGACCTATCAGTTCCCAGACTTCTGAGAGAAAAAGTGCCCCCCCCCTTATTTGTCAGTGGCAATAAGATGCAATGGTAATCTGGGACCTCAGGCTTGGTTGAGACATTCAGACTCTTCTGGCACCTGGTCAGGAATTCCAGCTGTGGTATTGTTGTAGACATGTAAAATTTAAATTAGTAAAGTCCTGGAGCAATGTATGTTTCCCCCTGTTGTTATTGGGAGAATCTTAGCACATGGGTAGCCAGGATGAATAACTTTGCAGACTAAATGTTTTGCCTTATGAATAAAGAAAAAATTCATGATGCCAATGGTTTAATGCTGCATATGGTCATTAGCTAGCAGTGTGACAGAGAAGTGATCATATTAAATATCACTAGTATAAAGAATTTGCCAGCTCATAGTGTAGTCCATTCAGTAACAAATGGTGATAGAATATTAAAAATTTGTTAGAGAGATGGGTTAAGTATTTTCCAGTGTTATTGAAACAATTTACAAATGTAACTGGTTTTTGGAAGAGTCTTAGTTTTTTGAAATATAATTGTGAAATGGTTTTAATTTCTTAGTTATTATTTTCAGTTTACATTCTTTTTTCTGGGGTGTCAGCTCCTTAATAATATCCCAACCATATTTTCCCCCTCATTTGTGTTTTGTTTTGTTCATCTTTTTGAAAATGTTTTCCAAGGTCATATGGTGGTAGAATTTCAGTTAGGACCTCGAGTATCCTGGTTACCAGTGAAATATCCTGGCCAGTTGAATTTTGGAGCAAGGGATCTGTTTTCACTTTTGACAAAGGTATTCCGTATTCATAAATTTAGACACAACTATGGTATTTAGTTTTATTATAATACATACCATTTATTAAGTGGTTCATATGTGATTAATGTTTCATTTAATTTTGAAAATACCTTGTACCATATCTTTTACTTTCTTCATTTTATAGATGAAGGAACTGAGACAGTGACATGACTTGCTTAGGGTCACATAGCTAATAAGAGGCATAGCTAGACTGGAAGAAGGCAGGTTTGACTCCAAAGCCCATCATATTCTTGACATTTTTCTGCATGCTTTTCAGTTCTGTGGTAGTATTTGCTTCACATCATCTGGAAGTGAAATTAAACCCAATATTTTTATCCTTAGATGTGTTAAAGAAATGAGTATACAGTGTTATGGATGACAATCTTAATGCCATGTACAAATTGTGTATATACACACATAAATGCATAAGCTCCCATAACAGTTGTATGCTAGAAATGACATACCATCTTGGGAGATCCATTTGTGCACATCTTTTCCCAACTTGGTGGTTAGTGACTTCAACCTTGGCACTTTGCAGTCAATCACTCCTCTAGCATTATAATATATCATGAAGACTAAATGAGAGAAAGGGGTAGCATGAGTTTGTAGAAAATGTAGATTATCATTGACTAAACCCAAAGTGAAAGTGCTTTGTTCTGCCACCATATGCTTGACACCATAATGGAGATCTAATAGTCAGTTAAGAAACAACACTAGGTCTCAGATTTTTTTTTAATTTTTTTAGATTTTTCTTTTATTTATTTATACAAGCACTGGGTACAGTAAGAAGTGCGGGAGGGTGAGAGAATTCACCAGAGCCAGAGCGGAGAGCAGAACAGGCAGACTGACTAAGTACATTGCTGCTGGGAGCAGTGGGCGGTAGGAGAGGTCTGTGTGCCATGTGGGACCCTCGCCTGGCAGCTGGGGATCGAACCAGCGCTGCAGAGGCTGCAGGCAGCTTTGCAACCCAGTGCTCAACCGCTGTGCCACCAGGGAGGCCCTAGATTTTTTTTTTTTAAAGATGTATTTATTTGTGCATACAAGAGCTGAGATGTAGGCCAGAGGTGCAGGAGAATGGGAGGACTCACCAGAGACAGAGTGGGGAACAGAACAGGTGGATACACTGAAATACACTGCTGAGGGGAGCAGCAGGCAAGACAGATGAAATCTGCTGTGCCATGTGGGTTAGATCCCTGGCCAGGGATCGAACTCGTGCTGCAGTGGCTGCGGATTGCTTCATAGTGCTGAAACTTAACCTCTTATGCCACCAGGGAGGTCCCCAGATTTTTTTCTTTCCATAAAGTATTGCAAAGGTAAAATTTTGTTAAACTAGCACTTTTTAGCTCCCCATGAAAAGCAAAGAGGCACTTTCATATAGTGGGATGAAATGATGAAAACATACCTTGAATAAATTTATATTAGTGATAGATGAATAGAATTTGCTATTATTACTCTAGAAAAATTCCTTCAGTTTATAGAGTCCACATTTTCAGAATCACAGTGCTGTAGTCCTAATCACATGGAAAGGATCTAACAAGAGATTGTAATTTGTATCAGAGCTGTTACTGTCAGGAAGTTGTTTTATTTTTATGTCCATGCTGGTAATCAAATGTAGATCAGGAATTTTTAATCTGTTCTTTAGGAAATATTTTTAAAAAGAGATGTGGCTAAGTATATTTTATCCCAGAAATTTAGTGTACATTTTGAATATACTAAACTATTTTGTAATTTCTTTTGCCAGATGATTTTCAGTGGGAGAATTACTTGAAAGAGACTGGTTCTTTAAGTGCTCCTTCAGAGTGTTTTAGACAGGTATGCCAAAATTCTGTAGATATTGTGTATATTAGTGTAAACTGTTAACTTGAAGGGTATCTTTGTGACTGTTAGGTTCTGGTAGTATGAGGAGATAGTGGGATTGTGGTAGTACCACTTGAGAGCCAGATGGTTTCTTTGCATTCATTCATTAAGAATTTATTCTATGTTAGGTATACTGAGCCTTTATGACTGCGCATCTGGAGGGAAAGACAGATGTAAATAATTAATTATGAGAAGTGTGATAACTCTACTGGGGAGGCTCAAAGAGATGATATTTGAGGCGGTTGGAATGGGGGGGTATTTCAGAGAGAACATTTGAGGCAAAAGCATATCGGTATAAAATAATCTGACACAGGATGGTATGGGGTAGCTGGAACACAGTGGGTAGAGCTGCTAGTGTGGGAATGAGGTTAAAGATGTGGGGACTTTGAAACTGTACTGAGAACTTGGACTTTATCTAGGCGGTGGTGAGCTGCCAGTTGGTATATTTCAAGGGGAATGGCCTAATCAAATTCTTATTTTACAAAGCCACTCAGGATACATTTTAGTGGCTGTATTTGGGTTGCAAGTGGGCAGATGAGTAAGACCAGCAGTAGGCAATGGTTTTATTCTGCATGTCAAGCCAAGGAGAGGATTTGGAGATATTTATCTTGACCCTTACAGCTCACCATCGGCTGTGGCTATTACTAAAAACATTCCTTGGATATTCTGGTAACATAACAGACCATTTGTTTTTCTTACAGTAATGCACTTTAACAAAATTTTCTTTGTGTGTATGTGTATAGTCTCAGATTCCACCAGCCAATGACTTCAAGGTTGGTATGAAACTGGAAGCCCATGATCCTCGAAATACTACTTCGATATGTATTGCAACAGTCGTCGGCACTACTGGTGCCAGGCTTCGTTTAAGATTGGATGGCAGTGATAATAGAAATGATTTTTGGAGGCTTGTCGATTCTCCTGACATTCAGCCTGTTGGGACATGTGAGAAGGAGGGGGACTTACTTCAGCCTCCACTGGGTAAGGATAAGCAGTTTTTAAAATGACATATTCTTACTAATAACAATTTTCGGTAGAAATAGTTTTACGTGGCCTTTAAAAAAATCTGTTCTCCTAGGCATTCTTGCAAATAGATGGTCAGGTGGTTACTGTAGAGAATGTATGAGAGAGGAACTTAGTACTGTATATTGTAGTTTCACTTAAATACACATTAGGCATATATGTGCTGAAGCTTTCCAACTCTAGGGCAAGACTCATGCTTTTTCGAACTTGAAAAGTCAAAAACAGCATTACTGGATTACACATGCAGATTCAGAAACCCTTCTGGGGGAGAAGTTTGTTGTATTTGGTATGAATTGCTTCCTCCCTCAATATTGCCCACTGAGCCATTCGGCATTTTGGCTAGAGTGCTAGCAAAGGAAAAGGGTATGATTCCATATCTAGACTCCAGTTTCAAACTTGGGAATTTCATTACAACTGTAGTGAAAAAAGTTCTTTCCGAACTTTTTCTAGCAAAGGTTTTTAAGTATTAAGGTTTTTAAGTATTGACCAGGTTTTTAAAAAATGTGTATGACTCTTAATTTGGTGCAAAATTTTTCTGCTTTAATTCTTAGGGATATGAGGATATTCTGTAGAAAAATAAGCAACTTAGTTTATCACTTCCCCATTCCGAATGAATGGTGGGTCCCCCCTCCTTATTTACAGTGCCAAAGATGAAAATTCTCTATTGTAACGCACAATGAGAGAGTGGAATTTCTTTTTGTCTCTTACAAGTGAGAACCCAAAATTTAAAGTATGAATACTAACCATTCTTTTAGCAACATGTATTTATGCAGTCCTACTCTGGTAATTATTTGTTAATTATTCCTAATATGTTTTCTAAATTTTTTTTAAAAAACTAGTCAGATATGTTATTCCAAAAGATAGTTTAGGGTATGTATCTTTGCTGTTTTTTCCTTTTTTCCTCTTCATATCTCTTCATATCATTCTTTTTTGTTTATTTTTATAATATTTCTTTTGTAAATTTTTTTAAATTTTTATTTTTTACATCATTGCTCATTTTTAAACAATATTTGCTTCCCCCACCCCCTCAGGTGTAGTCTCCATAGAGTTTCTTTCACCAGTGCACCGCGCACCATCACCTCAGTCCCCTGTGCTCAGTATTTCTTTAAGTCATACAGAATTCTTTTAGAGGTACAAGTGTAAGCCCAAGGCTTAGCCTTCCCTGTTTACAGTGGGATATGTTTTTGTATTTTGTTTAAAGGACGCGCAGGTGTTGTGATTGTTAGCATTTCAAACACATAGCCAGAGTTGTGATCACTCTTTCAACTTTTATAGTTTATTAATTAAAATTTAAAATATTTCACAATACATGCTAATTAGTATATAGTTGGATACTACATAAAAAAAATACACAATTTTGGCCAGTTTGCGCTTTAGGTGCTTTTGCATAGTTTAATTTTCATTTTAGTATAACATCATTTATTTAGTTTTCTTTTTTAAAGGGTTTATTTAAGCTATAAAGGTTATTCAAAAGATTTTTTAAAGTTCTAACATTCAAATAGAAAAGTGTACAAGTCATAAATATACCACTTAAAAATACACCTATATAACTATCATCAAAATCAAGGAATAGAACATTAGCTCTGCAGAGGACTCCACTCCTGCTGATCCCCAGTCATAACTTCCCCCTTCCTAGAGGTAACAGCTGTCCAGAATTTCTAACATCATAGATTAGTTTTATCTGTTTTTGAATTTTTTATATGCACTTTGTTCTATTTTTGACTTTTAATCTATGTTTGACTTAAGATAGAATTAATTATATTAAGAAAAATCATGGTGCATGATGTCCTGGGTAAGATGGGGATTAGAAGAAAGGGCTTAAGGACCAGAGAATGATTCTTAATGCAATATTCTAATCACACTGTGGAAAATCCATGCTGTGGATAACTATTAGATATCATTAATAATTTTGATTTATTATAAGGGAACATGTAGCAGTCTTTCCTCCTTCTTTCCTAGCAATAATTATTTTCCTAGTCCGATTAAGGATTCATACAGGATTATTGTACAGGATTATTATAGAATGACTTTCTATCTGAACTTTTTTGTTATATCCTATTGATATCAGTGATTCATGTGCCTCACTAGTGCATATATCCATCAGGGATGCATGCCAGGTTCTATCCAGTTCTGGCATCAAGGCAAGCAAATTTTGAATGAAACAGATTGCCTCAAGAAAGCAGTAAAAGTAGCAGACCTCCGCTCCCTGCTGCATGTGCCAGATGCTGTGATATTCCCATTAACTGATAGATTTCTAGAGAAAAGCACCTGTGGAGTCTGTTTTGATAGCATTCGATACACATTATAAGAGAAAACCCTGTTTAATGAGTGTAAAGACTGCTGAAATTAGATTTTTTATAACATTTTATTTAAAATTTCAACCATACAGAAAAGGTGAGAGAATTTTACATTGAACACCCACAGACCCACTACCTAGATTTTACCATTATCATTTTACTATATTTGCTTTATCACTTACCTGTCCATCTGTCCTATCGATACATCAATCTCTGATGCAACTCTGAAATAAATGTATTTCAGAGTATGTTATTTATGTCATTACATTTTCCTTAAATCCTTTAGCATGCATATCATTAACTAGAGTTCAGTGTTTATAGTTTTTTTTCTTTTGAGATAAAATAGTGAAATGTACCGCCGTACATGCACATTTGCTGAGTTTGACAGAAAACTGTCTTTTTGGAAGGAAATAAGTCAGGGACTCAGGAAAAAGCGGGACTGGAAATCATTTGCAACCTTTGCTCTGCTTCTGTGGCTGTTGGAAGGGAATGGAATGGAAGCTTTCATGCATTCTATGGCCTATTCCCAACATATACTTGCATGTTGGTGAATCCTTGCTAGTGGCTTCTCCCAAATGAGTTTTACCCCCACTTTAGTACAGTGGGATATAGCACTCTCTTTTCTTCCTGCCTGTTTCCTCATTTCTTTGATAGGAAAGTCATTCTCTGAAGAAAAATTGGTGAATAAACCTGTTTCTTATACCAACTTGCTGTAGTAGCACAGAGAGGCTTTTTCATGATATCTGATTTATTTTATAACATAGGGTACCAGATGAATGCGTCATCTTGGCCGATGTTCCTTTTGCGAACATTGAATGGATCTGAAATGGCACCTGCAACATTCTTTAAGAAGGTAAGAAAGATGTCCTAACAATTTTTTTTTAATCACTTGAGCTGTGGTTTTATTGTTTTAATCAGTATGCTTAAATGCTTTGTCTTCTCTGACATGAGAAAGCAAAACTGATTTTTAAATTACTGGCTTGGCAAATGTATTAGTATCCTAGGGCTGCCATAACAAAGTAGCACCAATTGGGTGGTTTAAACAATAGAAATTTATTTTTTCATAGTTCTGGAGGCTAGAAGTCCAAGATCAAAGTACCACGGGGGTTGGTTTTTGGCATGGCCTCTTTTCTCAGCTGATGGCTGCCTTTTTACTGTATCCTCACATGGCCTCTTATCTTTTTATGTGCAGAAGGAGAAGGATCTGTGATTTCTCTTCCTCTTTTTTTTTTTTTTAAAGATTTATTTATTTATTTATTTATACAAGAACTGGGGTATAGTCCAGATGCACTGGAGGGTCAGAGGATTCACCAGAGACAGAGCGGGGAACAGAACAGGCAGACTAACTGAAACACACTGCTGAGGGGAGCAGCGGGTGCTACAGGAGAGGTCTGCCGCGCCATGTGGGACCTTAGCCAGCTGGCCGGGATAGAACCAGCACTACAGAGGCTGCGGGCAGCTTCACAGCGCTGCGCTCAGCCACTTGCACCACCAGGGCAGGCCCTCTCTTCCTCCTCTCATAAGGATACCAGTCCTATTGGATTAGGAGGGCCCTTCATATGACTTTTATTACCTCTTTAAAGGCCATTTCTCTAAATACAATCACATTGTGGGTTAGGGCATTAGTTTATGAATTTTGGGGTACACAGATCAGTCCACAACAGTGACTTCAACAATAGAAATTTATTTTCTTACAACTTTGGAGGCTAAAAGATTGAGATCAAGATATTGACAGACTTGATATAAGGGCAGGAATGGGCACTGGGCAGGTTTTCTATGACCCGAGCAGACGGGGTAAGGGAGGAGTCAGAGTCCTGAAGCCCTCCGTGGCTTTTCAGGCTTTTATTGGGATTTATCAAGTATACAGCAGGCAGGGGTGCTGGGGGGCTGAGAGGCTGGCAGGCCTCCCAGCCCCCTGCAAGTCTTCACTCTGTCTGGGCTCTCTGGTGATCTCTGCTGCTCTGTTCTCTTGTGGTTCTGCTTCTGCTTCGGGTTTTTTTTTTTTTTTTTTTTTTTGAGTCCTTTCTCTTTGGCTTGGAGATGGCTATCTTCTGTGTCTTCACATGATCTATGTCTGTGTCCTATAAGGACACTGGTGATATTGGATTAGGGCCCTCCCTAATGACCTTATTTTAAGCAAATTACCTCTTTAAGGCTCCTCCAGATACAATTGCATTCTAAGGTACTGGGGGTTAGGACTTCAACATGAGTTTTGGGGATACACAATTCAGCTCATAATAGCAAGTCATAAAAAGGTTCATTTGCAATCACTCACTAGTCAAAATGAATTAGT